TGGTCGGCAGTGTGGTGTGTGAGGGCTACCAATCCGGTGAGAATCGCCCGGACTTTGGTTTGTTCGCCGGTGGCTACCCCGGTGATGGATCCCAGCTTCTTGAGTTGTCCCAGAGCCATGTTGTGGGCACAAAGTCCGAAGATCCACATCTGGCTGCGCTGGTCATAGGTGGAGGGAGTAGCATCCAGAGTGAATGCCCAGCCGCAGTGTTGTTGGAGCGGGATGACCTGCATGCCTGCCCAGCAGCCATGTCCCTGGAGTGGGTGCTGCTGAGTTCTTGCTTCTTGTGGTTCAAGAGGTATCCATCCATGGGCCCACAACCTTTCTTCATCATGACTGGTAATGCGGTCCATCCACTCGGGTGGCATGGGTTCATGGTTTTGAGTTTTGCGCCACTTGCATAGCCAGAGAATGTGTTTTGCCGTGGCTGGGACATGGCAATGCGGACAGTTCTTGATCTGGTGCGCATCTCTGTATTGCAACGCCGCCTGGACCCAGGTGTCAAGGTGGTGCTGTTGTTGTTGTTTGAGGTGCTTCCTCACTTGCCTGTAGGTGTGCCAGTCCAGTCCGGTCAGTAAGTCTTGGCAGTGTTGCTTACCGGCGAGTCTGGCTGTGCGCTGCTGTTGAGCTTCCCGAGTGAGGGTGCGCTCGATGACCCACCATGGTTGCTGAAGGTGGAGCTCTTCTGCCAGCATCAGCGTGGTTTCTGGCCGGTGCCAATGCAGTAGGTCTCGAGGTTGCCATCCCCATTCCAGGAGGTAGACAATCGTGGCTGCCAAGGGTCCTCGGACTGTGTACCATGGGTATTGTTTCCCCTGCAGCTGCTGTCTGGTCAATTGCCACGCTTGTTCAAGATTTGGCAGCTGGTCAGGTGGCCATGCTTGGATGAGGTGATGGATGGCTCTGATGTGCTGTATGATGACCTGGTCTGCAGGGTCTATGTAGCGCTTGGCATGGATATCATAGATGACATCCAATAGGCCGCCCGTGTGATGGCCCAAGTGCTTTGCCATGCTGTGTCTCAATGCCGCTCGATATCGTGGCGCAAGGCCTTGACTTTCGACACCCCATAGAGCAACCGGCTGAATGCCTCCCCGATGGAGGCGCAGCCGTATTTTGAGGGCTGGGATTTTGAGGCTCCTCAACTTGATTTTCCTGTGGTGCGCTTTTTTAATGCGCTGCTTCATGACCGGGATCCTCCTCTTGCGGGCTGCCTGATGATCAATGCCTAAGTCTCTCATGACTGGCGCTATCTGGGGATCATTGTCTGTGAGCAAAGCCCGGAGTTCTCGATCAGTGGCCTTGTCAGTGGTGACAAATGCTGTCTTCTTTGGATTGACTTGAAGACCTAGTTGCTGGAGCCTTGCATGGAGATCTCGGTAGGCGGCCAGAGAGGCTCTCGCTGCCTGGACTGGGGTTTTGCTGGCCGTGTCAAAACCAACATCGTCAACCCAGCTTGATAGGTGGATGTTGGGATGGGCTTGCTGCCATGGTTGGAGTGCTGGGGCAAGGACTGCCTTGGCCAGCAGAGGGGCCTGGGGGCAGCCAGCTGGGACTCCATGGGTGACGGTGAAAAATGGCGTCATCTCTTGCTCCGCAACAATGGCCTTGGGGCCATGGTAGACTTGCAAAGCCATTTCCAGCATCAGTGGAGGGTACTGCAATTTCAGGGCTTCAGTCTGGAGTCGCTGAAGGTTGATGGTGTCGTAGAAGGTGGACATGTCCATAAGGCAGGTCACTCCATATCGCCCAGTTGCTCGATGCACCTCTTGTCGCAGTAGCCGTTCGAGGGCTACATGGAGCACTTGTGCTCCTGGACGGGCTCTGTCATGTTGCATGGTGGCTGGTAAGTGTTTTTGCCAGTCATCAAGCAAGGGCTTTCGCAGGCGGCACCATACCCTGTAGAGCAGGGATGTGAGTGTGATTGGCCGTTCTTTGGCTTCGTTTTTTGGGAGCATCACCACCATGTGCATCTGCTGTTGGGTGGGCAGCTGAACCTTGGTTTCCATCTCTTGGCTTGAGCCTTGAGCCATGTATGTATGTATGTTTGTTTGTATGTATGTATGTATGTATGTATGTATGTATGTATGCAGCAATTAATAGTAGTAAATATATATATATACATACATACATATCATAAGTGTTTGGTTGAATCTGGCTGGAAAGCTGGCATTGGCTGCAATCTTCCACTTGTCTGGACATGTCAGTCTCCCGGTAGTGCATTGGGCACAGCTGAGACCCACACCCTCGCAGTTTGGCCCACTCCAGTCGGACGCTTCTTCGGTGGTCCGCCTGACCCATCCTCGCCAGCAGCCACGAAAGGCAAGAACAAAGCATGTCAAGAAAAGTGTTGGAATGTGCTACAGTAAGCTCGGAGATGAACTCCAGCTTCTTGCTGCTCTACCTTTTCTATCCATCAAGACTCAGCCAAACATGTCTTTCCCTCAAGCCAGCTCCTCCGGTGACGGCCTCTTTAGACCATCTTTGGGCAGGCCTGACCTTGTTGAAAGGTACAAAAATCACTGCACACTCAAGCGTTGGAGTTGCGTTCTTCACACCTAGAAACGAACCCACAACCTGAAGACTGACCAGCAAACTCCCACCAGTAAATGGCCTCACATTCGTCCTCCCAGCAAAAATGCACCTAAAATGGCCTCAAACGTGCCTCCCATTCTCAACCAGTGTTGGGAGGACCGCTTTGTGGGGCCCTGGCGGTTTCGCCTGACCCCTGGAGGCCACGGCGCCATCACCTCCGAAAAATCCAATGCTCCCGCAGTTCAAATGTACTTGATGTCACCATGATGTTCATAGCGTCTTGTCACTCCCAATCATGAATGTGGAAGTGAAGGCCGACGAAAGGTCCACCCAGTTGCCCACTCCACTTGTCAAGGCGTGAAACTCCAAGTCTCCTAACATGGCCACCTCATCACATCGCGAAGTGTTCCGGCCAACGGCGGCAGAGCGGCAGAGGCGCCTTTCCGGAGCTGCGCCTGCAAATCGCTTAACCGGGGCACCATCTGACTGCGCAGACCTCCTCACCTGGCGCTGCAAGGTGCAGATCATTTGGTCAATTTCACCAGGTCGTACAATCACATCCAATAAAATGATCACAGCAAAATCTCTATATTGAAAGCTATGTAGCTGCGATTGTACTAAAGACTGAGAGAAACTTACAAGGATGGTAGAGAATAGTTCACAGAAATGAACAAGCACATTTAGACCATTCAAGAAGCTCTGGTCCTCATTCCAGTCTATGTGCGCACCTGCTGCCGTCACTAGGCTTTGCTCCAGAGGCGGCCCGCGAGTTGAAAAAAGTGCCGACCCTGACCCCGTCGTCTGGTTCTTTCGCTAAGGCTGGCTGAATGTTGGCACAGGCCTGTCAACTAGCTGTAGCTTGTGTGGCAGTTTTGTGGCTGGTATGTTGGGGCAACTCCAAGCGATGTAGGCCAAGTCTAGTCTAAATTGAACAAATCAAAAGAACGCTTCTGCTTTGCCCAATCCATGGTCACCCATGACAGCAAAGCTTATGTACCGAGCATGCGGCGAGCGGAAGGCACGGAAAAGTAGGGTCAATATGGCAAACTTAGGATGCCACAACATGCCACAGCCCCACAGCCCCGTTTGTCTCATTTAGCCAGCGACACTTGCTAGTGCCAGGCTCGCCAAATCTTTAGATCTATTGCGCCTTTAGAACACGTCAATCTCCTCTCATTCCATGGGGCGGGAGGCTTCTCTAATAGACTTCCAGCTCCTAGTAGCCTCCTTGCTCCTAGTAGTAGGGCCACGAGCCCCTAGTAGCGTCCTTTGCTCCTTAGCTTCACCAAATTCAATGGAATATGAAAAATCCATTGGTCTCGGCCAATGCTCCTCGGTCCCAGCCGTCACGTCTTCTATGCGCTTGAGCCACAGCCGTGTCCGGATCCGGTCGTGAACCTGGCTCGCTTCTTTGGCCACTCAATGCAGCGAGAACCTGCTTACTATTTCCCACCAAGAACAGTAGCTTTGATCTTCCAGGAAGCCATCGAGGTAGATAGTCGACTAAGACGCTGTTCAAGACTCATCTACAACCTGTTCAAGCAGTTCCTTAAGAACATGCTGCCGGCTTGCCCTGCAAAGCTGCTTCCCATGTCCATCTGCCTGGGCAAAAAGTGAACCGTCGCTCCATCAAAGGCTTCATTGCTTCATTCATTGTTGCATCTTGTCTGGATGGGTCCGTTAAACCCGGGGCTCGGATTCTTTTGAGAAAGAGGTGTTGAGAACTTGAGGCATCTCAAGATTGTTTGATCTAGTTTAGACATGTTCATATAAGTCAGTATGATCATCTGCCAGTGAGCTCAATTCTCAGACACCCCACCGTTCGCTGCATCACCAGCTGAACGGCTTCACGGCTACCTCAAACGAGCTCCGTGCTGCAACTGCATGAAGTGCCACAAATTTAAAAGAAATAGAGAATTAAACAAATACAAACAAGATCAAACAAGGTACTGTAAGGCCCCTTGAAAAGGGGCTGCCTTCCTAGTTATATTTGTTACTCGCGGAGCAAAGAATCACCAAACACCTGTGTATCTTCCAATGGGGAAGTCTAATGCATCAGGCCTTCTGGACATGTTCTGCTGGGGTCATTGAGCAAATCGAAACCGAATTCCTGTAGCACCTAGCCAGGCCTAGCGGGGCCTCCTTTGGGCCGAGCAACTTGTCCTCACCTCCAAGAGTTCCGTTAAAGACAGGAACCTCAGCAAGCCCCAGTCAATGAGTGCCTTGAGTGTCTCAGCAAAGAGCAGTTTTAGATTGACAAACCGCACAAATCCGCAAACGCTCGGACCGGAGCTGAAGTCTTGCAGGGGTGACTAGGTCAGCCACGGTGAAATCGCTGAAAGGCAATGGCCGAGTAGCCCAGCCTCTGAAGCTAGGCATGGACTAGATTCTTTTTGGGTCAAGAAGGCCAGGGTGTTCTTTTTAGATTCTTTTTGGGTCAACAAGGCCAGGGTGTTCAAAGGCTCTTTTTGATCTCTCGCTGAGAATGAATCCTATCAAATGGATTCGGCGACATCCAACAACTTTGCACCAGATGCATCCTGTTGTAGCGGACATGTTGCAGAGGTCCTTTGCACACTTCAACATGCCCACATTCCATGCTGCCGCTGTGATTCAGAGAGCAGCTGCTCAGCTCACCACTTCAGAAGGTTACCCTGCTTCGGCTTCGTCCAAATCATCAAAATCAAAAAAGCCACCGCGCCCAGTCTCAACATGATCTACGTCTGCTCCCCAAGTCTCAGGGTTTTGAGCTGGCTGCTCTCCGCTCTCATCGGTGTTGCCTGGGATGATGCTCTCGTCAAATTGGTGAAGCAAATTAGAAGCCTCCATCTCCACCTCCGGAATCCTCTCCTTCGAATCATCCTTTGTATTTCCATCAGCCTCATCATTCTCCTTTGCAGTGTCTTCAGTCATCTCCTAAAAGGTTGCAGGGTTACGACATTACCCATGAAAACATCTACTCCTCAAACTCTAGATCTGTCAAGACTTGTGCCATCCCCCCTCCTCTTTCTGCTCATCCTGGCCAGCCTCTTCCACTGCTTGTCCTTTCGTATCTTCAGCCTGAACCTCCTCCTGGACCTGCTCCTCAAAGTCGGCCAACGCAGCACTCGCTTTGGATCAACTAAGGCCCACAGATTCCAAACATCTTTGGAATGCCCTTTGCTACTAGTAGCTTCCTGTTACTAGTAGTAAGGCCAGGAGCTACTAGTAGCGTCCTTGCTCCTAGTAAACATCCGAGAGCTCCAGGACTCCAAAGGATGGTCCATACTTTGAGAACGTTCAACAAGCTTTGTCCCTAACCGGAAGCAAGAGACAGTGTGACATTGCATAAATTATGTTCATTTGGGGAAGTTGGGGTCTCTTTTTTTCGAAAGTTCCCGTACCCAAACATGCACTCTGCCTTGGCCACATCACCAGGCAGCTTGAGGCCAGCCGCCGAGGGCGCTATTTCCTCCAGCTCGTCGAAATCGAACATGCCTTGGGTAGGTGCGACCAGTGCAATCAGTGAGTCCCTTCGCTGGCAGGTGGTAAAGTAGAGGGCTATCCTCTGCAACTGGATGCAGGGTCAAGGGCTCAAGCTCACTGTCATCTGATGCAGGGTCAGCGAACATGTCTTTCAGTGCAACAGCTTGAAGGAGGAAGGGGGGAGTTGCAGCATCCATGAGTTGCAGGTCCGAACAGTGGAAAAGATTTTGTTGAGTGGTACTCTGGATCCATGGGGTGTGGGCCAACGGAAGCACCACACCAAAACCCTAGCACACAGCCAAGTTGCCTCCTGAGCCATCTCTTGCTTGGTTCTCGGCCAATTCTGTCTTCTGCAAAGTCGGTTCTGCTGATAAATCATCGAAATCGAAGAACGCATTACCCTGAGGAGGACTCTGTCCACCTGGGGGTGGATGCTCAGCCTCAACAAGCTGCGCGACCTCTTCTACTTGCTGGTTGGCTTCATGCCCCTCTCTTTGCAATTGCTTCACGGGGGAGCTTAGAGCTTCCTCTTGAACCATTTTGGCGTCCAAAGCGACTGCTGGGACCTTCGCATCTTTTTCGCTGGGCACCTCGGTGGCTGTTTCCTTCACCTCCTCCGAACAGTTGCCAGGAAGGTTGCTGGCAGTTCCAGTTTGCACTTCTCCTGCACCGGAGCAACAAAACCCAAACAACGAGTTCTCTGCAAACAAAGCAAGGACAAGCACACAAAGCACATTCACAAGCACATTCATGACCAAATGTCCAGGCTTGAAAATTAGGTCCTCCATTTTTGCGACACATTTTGCGTTGCCTCCGGTCTAGGACCAAGGAACCAAACCGGCAATGGATCTCTACACCCAGGCCACTCCAGGCCGTACCAGGCCTTCAGGACCAAAGTGTGGCGTTGAAGGGTCTTCCGTTGACAGGCTATCGCCATCCGCCATCTCCCTTACCCCACAGAAGCGTGCAAACCAGTTCCGGAACAAGGCTTGGTGTTCATCATCCACAACTCCAAAGTCATCGAACAGCTGGAGATCCAGCGTCTTCTCTTGACCTCCGTTCTTCAAGATCGTGTATGTTGTAGCAATCCTTGGAAGTGAACCATGACCATTTTTCAAGCAGTCACAACCGGCAAGGGACACCAACAAAACATTAAATCGATTGGCGTTCACGTGGTGATAGCTATGTCTAAACTCGCAGGCGAACACCACAGATTCCCCAGAACCCTTACTGCAGAAAGTCGGGCCCCCACCCCCTAATTCATTTTGGCTAAGAAACAATGTTGTTAACTCTAGCGAAATACAAAAAAACAATGGGAGGGCCAACATCAAGGTGACTTGACAAACGGATCTGTATATAAATGGAAAACATAAACAAAACAGAAGAATGTCCGATTGCAAAGGCATGTAACTAAGAGTGAAACGGCAAGAGTGAAACGGAAGCCTTCACCAAGTTTCTGTGAGACCGTGTCGTAGCTCTCTTGTATGCATGGCAAATACTGCTGTAATGCCATGGAGGGATCAATGCTCGCCAACCAGTCAGAGAACGACAACCGTTTCAGGTCGATTTCGGTGTCCTGACATTGACTGGTTTGCGCAAAGAAGAGTTTCAAGACGTTTGCGTCTAGAAGAAGCAGTTTCCATGTGTTTTTCATAGAAGAAGTGTTCTTGTTGGTTGAAATATGTTTGAAGCAGTCGTGCTGAATTAGATAGGGGCTAACTGTGAGGCATTGTGTTTGAAAGAGTGTTGATAAACATAGAGCAGAGTTTTTTAAGAAAACCACTATGGTTCCTGGCATCGACATGATTGTTACATGATTGTTTCACAACTTTCAAAAAAACCTACCGTATTGTTCTTAAGTATAAGCAAATTTGATCCCTGAACAGAAACGGGTCCATAGTTTAGAGTCCCAGGAGTGAGGCAGTGTTACAAAACAAGAAAGGTCTTAATCTGTATAAGTGCTTAAGAGGCTGGTGACACTTGGTAGTCGAAGAAAAAATAATTGATGTCGCAACAATAGTAGCAAAAGCAGTCGCACTTGTCGTGGAAGCAATAGCTTGGGAAACAGTAATAGTACTAGGAGTCGGAGTATCAGTAGGATTCGTCGAACAACTTTGGGAAGGAATCGTTGCCAGAGTGTTGTGAAAGCACAAGCGCCTGCAAGTGACATTTTAGGGAAGGAGATGTGCAACGATGTACACGTCAATCCCATAGAACAGACTTGTTGATATTCTTGGGGGGGGTAGCGCTCATTCACACACACTTAGGAAATGCGTACTGAACTGAATGCCGCTCGCCACACGGCAACCTAGGTACCCAAATTCCTGAGAAAGCAAGCAAGGGGGTCTGACCATCGTTAGTTAAGGAGGCCAAGAGGTCCAAGTCCAAAGTTCAAGTCTAAAAGTGGCAACACGACGAACAGGCCGAAATGACGACGGTCGCTCGCAACTGCAGAGTGCAAACCGATGCGATGGCTGGAATTCTTGTTCTAGTTAAAAGCAGGGACCACGAGGAAGTTGCACAAGTGAAACTGCAGGTACGCCGAGTTGATCAGACTCGGTATTCCATGATTGTGGTAGCTTCGTTGAGTGCGGTCCCACAATCATGCCGCACTCCCCTGCTACTAAGAATGGAAGCAAAAATCAAAAAGATACACATTGAAAGGAATCCCTGTGACTTGAAGGGTTTCGCACACACGCCTCCTGTTCAGGGAGGCAGACCTTTTTCAACTGCTAGGGCTCCGTACACACAATAACAAAATAACAGAATAAATACACTTAAGCTCAATGGCCTACGACATGGAGCCCCCATATATACATATTGGGGCGTCTTGCCGCCCAAAGACACCCAGTTGCTGTGAAAACATCGACTGCAAAAGCAGCCGAGAATTTGCTTTGAAACCCATCGTTCCCCGACTGAACCAGCAGCAGATTCGGTCACGTCCTCTTTGGTCACCAGAGTTGCTGGGTTTGCGCAGGGTTGCGCCTCGTACAGCAGTGTGCACAGGATCAACGATCTGGATTCCATAATTCCTCTGTTAAAGCGGTTTACGCAGGCTTGATGGGACGGTGGATCTGAGCATACACCCTGGTCTGTGGAGTCTATTTCTTGCCCAACAACACAATGATACTCTTCTTGCATGGACCCTGTCTTGCAGAGAAGATCAGACAAAATCTATGCTATCCTTGTATCCCAGATCCCAGCTTGATTGACAAAGGCTTCAAATGTCATGTCTCTGTCTCCATCGATCTAGCTATATCTAGCTATTTCATTAAAGCCGAGTCTATTGTTTTCTGTGTTCCGAAGGCCATAGCAGCCGCGCTTACTCCTGTATCAGCTTTGACAATATCAACTTTAATGTCTAAATATCCTGCTAATTTCACTCAAGCCATCAATATTTGTGATTGTGTATATCCTCACCTCACCTCTCCTTCCACTTTTGTCAAAACTAACAAAAGAACTATGGTTGCAAACATGCATAGAAAGAGTTCGTGCCAGCATGCCAAGCCAAAGGGTTCCTCCTGTAATACATATGCAGGCGTAGGTCCAGTCTGCAACGTCTCTTCTGGCCCAATCTGCACAAAGCAGCTTCCCCGTTACACCCTTGCCGCACCTCCTCAGCACCGCAGCTGTCCTTGAACCAGCGCTGGAACCGAATGCGATGCTCCTGCCGAACCTGATGCTCTGTGAAGAACTCGTCTCGAAGAATCCTAGAAGAAGTCGTCTCGGAAGCTTGAAGATACCTCTGCTTGGTCTGCGAGGTCAAAAATATGTTCTTGGCTGAAGATTCCAAAATGCAAAAAAATGCAGTGTGATTACTGTCTAGAAGAAATCAGGTGAACAAATTATCGGTCAAGGGGCGTCTCCATGATCTGCTCCAAGGTCCCATGAATTTGCATGGCCGGCAAATACTCCAGGCAACCACCAGTGGGATCCACAGAAGTCAACCACCGCTTGAAATCCAAGGTGCGCAAGTAGCCCTGGAAAAAAAAAGAAAAAAACACACACACACACACAAAGGCGCAACAACATCTCCCGAGGCCATACCATCCGCTGGTGTCCAAAGCATGCAAAGCGTGACGCCCTGACACACTCTTGCTTACCACGGCTATGGATGGCTTAGAGGCTCTTTACAAAATCTGCAACCAACCTAAGTTGACCCAACCTGGGTCCTCAAAACTGGTGGAAAATCTTGGTGGCCCAACCTGTGCGACCTTGGCCTCGGTGGACTCCTGGACTTTCTGCTCAACTTTCACCTTCGATCAAACAGTTCCACTAAGCCGCCTACGCACGCCTAACATGGTCAAGTGCCCTGGGCAGCTGATGGGAAAAATTAGAAATGACTATTCAATTCAATGCTTTTGTGACTTCCTTGGAAAGCTTACCCGTGTCTATGCGCCAACTGTCATCATGTCCTGTCAAACCGGCGTTCCAGCAGTAAAGTGTGGCCCTAATGTGGCCTTCTGCGGAGCTACACTCAGCCCAACCTCACAGACCTGAGATGCTGGCTGAAAGCAAATGCAAATAACCTAAAAGCAATGGCCTCCAACCTAACCTAATAGCGATAGCCTCCAACCTAATAGCGATGGCCTCCCCGTAATAGCAATGGCCTCCCCCTAATAGCGATGGCCTCCCCCTAATAGCGATGGCCTCCCCCTCATAGCAATGGCCTCCAACTTAATAGCGATGGCCTCCAACCTAACAGCGATGGCCTCAAACCTAATAGCGATGGCCTCCAACCTAATAGCAATGGCCTCCAACCTAATAGCGATGGCCTCCCCTAATAGCAATGGCCTCCCCTAATAGCCATGGCCTCCCCGTATTAGCGATGGCCTCCACCTCATAGCCATGGCCTCCAACCTAATATAATAGCAATGGCCTCCCCCTAAAAACAATGGCCACCAACCTAATCACGTGGCCTCCACCATGGTCTCCCCCTCATAGCGATGGCCTCCCCTAAAAGCGATGGCCTCCTCCTAATTGCGATGGCCTCCCCCTCATAGCAATGGCCTCCATAATAGCAACGGCCTCCAACCTAATAGCGATGGCCTCCAACCTAATAGCGATGGCCT